CCACCCTAAGAGTTCTCCCAAATGGTAGGAAGAAATTCTTTATGGAAAATGTTTTTCTAGAATTTAAAACCAGGAGGAAAACTACAGTGTTTGAAATTCTTTTAATATCCTTTGCTTCAAAATGAGAGGGGGAAGAGAAGCTAAATTTTGGAGTATTTTATATTTAACCTTCCCTTTGCCTGGGTTGCTTTGGGATTATATTAACTGGTCATCACTTTGTGGGAGGAGGGGTGATTTTTCAAGTGACTGAGAAATCCTGCCAGAGTGGCAGTTTGTCTCCCTTTTAGACAATCTAACCCCCACCCACCCAGACCGATTAACCAAAGCTCAAAGAAATAAACCTTAAACCTGGCAAATATTTGGAAATGAAGCACCTTCTGACTGCATGGACTAATCCTGTGAATAAACCAAGAATGACAAATACTGTGTTTCTACTGCCATTTATTGATCTCCTGGGCTTATATTTGGTTATGAAAAACAAGCTACAGGTTTAACTTTACTAAGGGCAATTTCCCAAGAGAAATAGAGAGGAAGACAGATAGAGAATACTAGAAGACAGACACAGAATCTGCTATGTGGACTGCAACCAACTCGCACTAACCACACTTTGTTTACAGTTTATTTGCAGAGTCACTCTCATCGGCCCAACCCAATTTAAAAGACATGTGCTTGCCTTTTTAAAACAGCTACCAATAAGCTGCTGTTAGATGTTAAAGAGATTAAAGAAACTAAGACTATCTTACATAAAAACACAGAGCTTACATTTTTCCAATTTCATTAATGGGTCAAAAATGATCACATAAAACTTTAGAATTTTTAAAAATCCTAAAATCATCCTCGGCTTCTCTCTCAAAATTGTGATCTCATTTTTAATACATTGTGATACATGAGTACAATGCACTCCACCTATTTTTTTAAAGTAAGAAGCATTTATTAATGAAGGGATTCTTAAATCAATAGTTAGGGACTGACCTACCTTCCTTGTGAAGCTGGCCAGTATAATTATTTTCATTTTGCTGATGACAGAACCAACACATATAATTTTAATGTAACAGGCACACACGGCAAACAAATGGCATAATTTCTATGAAGTTTTTGATGTTCAAACATGTTAGTTCATTGGACCACAAAATGGTTTGCTTCACAATGGCTAACTGCTAATAACATATAAGACCAGCCTTTTTAACCACCTAAATATTCATTCTCATTGATTCTGTTACTTGCACACATAATTGTTAATTCTGGCAACCACTGAATGCCTATTGTACAGTCCCTAGAAGCCCATACTGGAAGCAAACTTCCACTAAAAAACAATCTTTTTCAAATAGTTTGAAAGGAAAGTTACACGTGACTTTCACTTCTTTTTAAAGGGAGAATCACCATTATTCTTTGTACCAATCTAGTAAGGAGACACACACAACATATTAAATGACTCAAGGATTTGTGTCATTTTGGCTTTGCATTTTTGACACCTGTATCCTATTTTAATGTAATTCTATATAAAACTGATATCACAAACATCAATTGGGAAAAGTGAAGGTAAGAATGTGATTTATAAGAAAATGTGATGATAAGAATGCTAGTATAAATATAAATGCTTATTAAGTGATTCAGCTTTTTTATAGCACTACAAGTCAATTGGAAGTCAATTCAATGGTCATATATCAGAAGGAAAGGTAAACTGTATGATTTATGTTGCAAATGCTACAGTACATTTTTACTTACCCAGGTGGATAGAGCATGACCAAGGTAGAGAAGAAATTTTGCAGAGGTAACATAGTCTTTAAAGGATCCTGCAATGGAGACAAAGGCAGAAAAGGGTGTATTCAATCTTTGTGAAAACATAGTCTTATTAATTGTACTACTAAGTCTCTCTAGTCTCCATCATTTTCTTTCTCTTAAAATTGATTTTGATTAAATCACTTCATGAAGTAAGTCCTGCAACTCTCACCAGGGCTCTGAAATAAAAAAGACATCTTGTTTTATTGACTATGAAGTCACTTAATTTGAGTACATCCAGCACTTGAGGAATTGCATAAAATGAAGACAGATATCCCCTTCAGTCAGCTTCCTTTCTCCTTTTACCCAGGACCACACACACTTTTCCCCACACCATTCCCATCACCTACTTAAATATCTATACACAGAAATAGGAAATAGATCTATGATCCCATTGCTACAAGGAACTCTTAGGTGAGGAAAGTCCCTCTAAAACACAGGGCAGCAACTTCTCTGCAACTTTTGCTCCTCAAGAGTTCCGGAGAGCATGGAGAGCTTAAATGATTTGCCTAGGGTCACACAGCCGGTGTGTGTCAGAAGGAAGGCTGGAATTGGGGTCTTGCCTTCCAGACTACTGCCCCCAGCGCTGCCTCTCTGGCATGTTTATACTGTACACAAATGACCCCTCTTAGCTCACTTTTAAACTATTGAACCCATAAATTCCCCTGCTCCCCATTTTTCACCAAAAATACAAGATTGCTACCAAAAAATTCTTGCAGCTAATAGCTACATCTTCACCCAACCTGCTTACCCACTTATACCCATTAGGTTAACTGACATAAGAAACAGAGCTGGTCATGTCCCCACTCACCGCAGCATCCTCCACGAGTGTTTTGGTCATTTTTACGGGTCATGACAACAGGAGCTCCTTGTTGACTTTTCTTTGTCCTCTGCTGTTGCTATAGATGTTTTGATGTTTTTCTCGTTAACTGGAGTGCAAATAACTGGAGATAGCACCACCAAAAAGCAAGAAAACAAAACAAAAACAATACTCTGGAAAACTTTTTAAAAATTAAAAAAAAAAAAGAAAAGGCAACCCGGGATTTCTCTTTGTTTTCTTTCCAAACTTAGCTATCACTGTAGCTGAAGTTGGAAAGCTATAGCCTTATGGCTAGGGGAGAAGGACAGGCAGGGTCCGGACGGCTGTTGGGGGGCCTCAACAGAGGCTCCCAGCTGCCGAGGCTGTCACCGAGGCCCGGGCCTCCACCCGACCTCTTATACCGGGGCTGGGGGTGGAGCTCGGGCGGGGCACCTGGCCAGCGCCGCCCCACGTGAGCTCACCCCGCAAGTGCCGGGCGCTGACCGCGAACTGCGGTGCATCCCTCCACCCTCTCCTAGAGTCGTCTCCGTGGAGGCAGAACCTTCGCTCTTAGCAATAAAAAGCTGCCTAGACACTCCAGGACTTGCACCTTCGCGCACGGGACGTGGGAAGCCTGGGAGCATTTTCGTGCGTGGAAACTCCAGTTGTCCGGGTTTTCTCCTGGGCTGAGGAGGAAGGCGAAAAGAACCTAGGTGGGAGGAGGGGTGGGAGGCGAGCCTGGAAATAGGGGGGCGGGGATATGGGAGAGAGGGAGGGGATATGCTCAGCCTTGACAGCCCGAGGGGCTCTGGTGAGAAGTTGCTTGCGTATACTCCGACCTAGTACTAGAGAGTGGGGGAAGAGCAGATATTATAATAGCACCTTGTGAAAGTCTCAAGCCGTTATCGTGGGTTTTCCAGTGAAGGGGAATCTCTGGAGTAGCCCATTTCACGAAAATAACCTCACTGGCCATTCCCTTTTCTTCAGCTTTCTGAGAGATTTGATGCACACATTGCATTTAGAGAACAGGGTGATTGTAAGGGGAAATAACTAAGTTTAAGTCCCAAGCTCTGCCACTTTGTGACCTTGGACAAGTCGCAGTTCCGTAGCTTAGTTACCCAAACAGGAGGCCTGTATTTGTCTCTCTCCTCTTCTTCCTTCCTTCCTTTCTCTTCCTCCTCGTGCTCACCCTCCTCCTCCCCCTTCTCTGTGACTTTTTCTCTTCCCCTCTCATATTCACATTCTATCTCTGACATCCATTACTTAAAATACCACTCTTCTACATTAAGACTTTTCTGACCCCCCTGCTAGTACCCTCCTTCTCTTACTACCTTGCATTTATATTATATTTGTTCTCTATATGTTTATAAACGTAAATGTTGTCTCCCCTGGTAATGTAAGCTGCTTGAGTTTCATTTATTTTTCTCTGTATTTCCAGAGCCTAACAGCATAGTAGGGCTAGGGAATGTAGTTTTGTTGCTATAGGAACTCCCATGTGAATGAACATCTTCCAAAGCAAGTGAGCACCTGCTCTGCAACATAAGTTGCCTAAAAAGTCTTAGAGAGTTGTGTAGAAAACTGAGAGATTAAGTGATGTGCCCAGGAACACATAGCCAATATATGTCAGGGGCAGGGCTGACTTCCAAGACCTCTATGCACTTAGTTACCCTGAGGGATACCTATGGACTTAGTTTTAAAATGTAATATTACCTAGATTTCATTGTATTTTATTTATTTTAAAAATATTTCCTAGTTACTTTTTAATCTGTTGTGGGGGAAGGGAATTGTGAGCTGCACATGGTAGCCTGTTTGACATCTCTAGACTCAAAAACCTCTCAGGTCCTTTCTGTCTCTTGTGGTCTAAGTCTCTTAGTTCTTATTCTTGAGGCTGCAGTTTGGTGTTCTCCCAGATCATCTCAGAATGCCTTTTGAGAGAAGAGATTAAAGGAGGCAAAGCACTTTCCCCATCATCCTACTCTTCACAAGCTTTTCCCACTGTCATTTTTTGTCCATAACTTTCTCTACTTCTCTTTGTCTCTGTGTCAGTCTGCAGTCCCTGCTTTTACAGATTCTTTCACTGAGACCAAAACACTTCAGACTTTTAAGCTATCTTCTTTTTCCCACCCAGTCACAGTAAAACCCGGAAAATGGACTCTTCCTTTTGGCCCTTGGAGTGGAAGTGAACTGAATAGCCAGTTAATTGTGGAGGGGAAGACTAGAAAGAACTTATGTAGTAAGTAGCCTCACTGGGCTAGGTGTGTACTGCTACAGGGTACAAGGGTGGGGCACAGTTGGATTCAGTTAGGATGTGGTCTGGAGGGTAGAGATAGGAGATTTACAGTTTAGTTACTTTACTTAACTGGTGTTTTCCTTTCCAAGCCCCCTTTTCTCCCTTCTTTATTCACAAGCCTGCCCTGTCTTCTCACTCCAAAAGAGATTTCGTTCTTTCACTCCTGAAGGTGCAGAATTATAGTGATTTTTGCTTTAAGGTCTACATAGCTAACTTTACAGATCTATTCCATACTTAGTCAATAGGCATTTTATTATTAAGCCCATTGGTGCTAAGCCCAGAGGATAGGAAGGCAAAAAATAATCCATACCCTTAAGGAACTCATGCTCTAATGGGTGAAACAAACATAAAAATGACTAAGTACCTACCAAGATATATTCAGAATAAATGGAAGGTACTCTCAATGGGGAAGGCGCTAGTTAGTAGGCGACTGAGACAGGGACTTCTGGAGAGGCTAGGATTGGATCTGTGCGGAATCTTCAAGGAAACCAGGGAAACTAGAAGGTAGAGGTGAAGAGGGAAAGACGTTCCGAGAATGGTTGGGACAGCCAGTGCAAAGGCATGAGAAGGGAAATGGAGTGTCCTGCATCTCATGTGATTTCATTTGAGAATAGGTTATTGTTTCATTATATCTTTTAAAAAAAAAAGCAGAAAACATAACTCACTTGGCTGGGAAAACTGCTGAAAGGAGGACAACTAAGGTCTTTCCGTGATAAAAAAAAAATAGTCCATCATTGCAGTTGGATTTGTTTCTAGGACTCAGGGCAAAGAGATAATAATACTTTGTTGGTTACAGCGTCTTTCTATTTTAAGGACCTCAAAGTATTTCATAAACATTAATTAATTCTTGCCATTATTATACTTCTCGGGAAGTACTTTACTCATGTAGTACTGTACTCAACTTATAGGTGGTTGTATTGAAGTTAAATGCCATATAGCAGGTGGACACAGTGAGGAAAGTTAGAAGAGTAATGCAAGGCAGTTCCCCTTAAAAGGTGAATGGGGGGGTGAAGGTGGGGGAAGTAAGGGGGTGTTGAATCTCTTGTTTTCTCTTCATTACAGTAAGGTCTTTGGGGGCAAAACTTGAGAGAGGGAAAGCAGGGAGTAGAGCATAAGACTGTAGTTTATGTTTCAGTTAAGTGGGAAAAAATATTCTGGGGAAAAAGGAACCAGAGCTGTAAGATCAAATCCTGGGGAGTTGTTTGAAGCTTCACAATAGAAAAGTGGGTTTCCTAGATATAAATAAGGTGGGGGGGGAAATCACACACTAATTGTGTTGCATAAAGAGGAAGGGTCATGGAGATAAAAATTAGAAGTGAGTTCCCTAAATTTGGTTAGATTACAAATGGTAGAAACTCTAAATTGAACTAGGAGTTTTAAACTTGCTTTAATCATAAGACCCAGCTATGTCTTTCACAAATAGATGATGTGAATAGTTGAGAAACAAAGCTTCTGTTTTCATTTTTTTTTAAAGCACATCTTTACAATTAAGGGAATGGAGTGGATAATCTCTAAGATTGCTTCTAGTTGCAAAATTCTCTGATTTTCTGATTATTTATATTTTATCCAGAAAGCAAGGAATACTACTTTTTCCTCTGTTTGTTGATCGCTACTTCAACTTGGAACTGTCAAGACAGAGGAAAGAAAAGAACTTTTTTTTTCATTTAATTTTCTGGATTAAAAAAAGTTCACAAATAGATTAACTTCTTTTAAATCCTAGGAAGAGAATAAAATATGTATTCTAGTTTTAAAATATTAACAAATGCAACCCCATTTGGGAAAGCAAAGAGGTTTTTTTTTTGTTTTTTTTTAACTTACCCTCCAAAGTGACTCTTGAGTTTCCTCTGCTACATCCGATGGTCTCACCAGCACCAAAAGGAGTGCAAAGAATGCTCCTCAGCACATTGCTTTGAAAAGAAGTAATACAGTTGTCATCATTTATTACAGGAAAAACTCAGATTCTAAAACTATGCTCTTTTTGGATGAAAAGCCTTTTAACCTACCTCAGAGTTTTAAAGCCATATTATAGCTGTATCTTCTCCATGTTATAGGCATATTTCAAGCATTGCTTGACATTTTCTATCATCTATGGATATCAAATTGTCCCCTTGTGAAATGTTAAGTAGCAAGCACCAATTTTGATGTATATATCCTTGCTCCTCTAATCATGTTGTCTGACCTCCAAACATACCCGGTGCTGAAAGGCGTCTGCATGCATCTAGATAGACACATACACATAAGCACATACACACTTTATAGATAAGCTACAGTTTCCTGTTTGAAACTGAAATAAGGGCTATATCCAGAAACTTCCAAGAGTCTAGGATGCATCACGTGGCATTTTTCAGTAGTAATGTTTATTGGCCCAATGGACTCATAAGGGCTAGCAGATAACGAGGTCATCTAGTTAATCACCCCTCTGCTTGACATACAAACGTCCAAGGAAATAGTCTCATTTTCTTTAAAGTTTTCAAAAAAGGAAATGTAGACAATCACCTTAAAATAATTTATCCCTGTTTCTCAGAACTCTCAAATCAGAAAGTGTTGTTTGTTTTGTTGTGTCTAACCTAGATCTCACATGCTGAAGTGAAAACCTATTTATTGCCTTTTAATCTGTCTTCAGCAAAGCAGAAGGAGGTTGCTTGCAATGGTAAATCAATCTCCCTTCTGCTCAAATCTCCTGTAGGCCTTCTCTTCCTCAGTACACATAAACACAGTGGCTTTAGACTTTCATCACTTATTGGTCTATTCCCAAGTATTCAATCATTTTTATTGCTCTTTTTTGGATGCTTCCCAATTTCATAGTTCTCTTTCAAGGCCCGAACTGAATATAATACCCCAGTAAAACCCAAGTAATGTGGGACAATTGCCTTGCTATAAGCCCTATTTGCTTTACCCCTCACTTGCTTTTTCAGCAGCACTCTATTGATAACATAGCTTTCAGTCAGTCCATTTTATGGTATATATTTACTTTTTTGGACCCTCCCCCTTAGGAAACATTTCAGAAAAGGCTTCACATTGTTTCTGGATTAGAATATCTACATTCCAATGGTGAGAGGCTTCATGTATTTGAGGAATTTTCCCCACCTCAAATGCAAAGAGTGCTTGGATAATATGGTCAATATGGCCAAGGATTTGTGATTTCCTCAGTATGAAAGTTCCTTCCATCAACACATATACATATAATAGAAGTTATAATTTGTAGTCTTACAGAATCATCTAAGCCCAGAAAGATTCATAGGACTGCAGTTCTAGAACCTCAGTGGCCTATCTAGTTGAACTTTCTCCCCCAACCCGAACCCCAACCCCATGTTATAAATGAAGCAATAAAGGCCCAGGGAGCTTATAACTTGCCCAAGATCACAAAGGTAGTAAATATCGGAGATAAGATTAGAACTCAGAACATCTGACTCTAGAATCAATGGTATTTCTACTGCACTATCCCCAGTGATTTATCCGTGGAAGGAGGCAGAACATGAACCCAAGTCTTCCTGACTCTTAAGTCTAACACACACCATTACACAAAACTGCTTTGGTTAATATGGTGTCCATACATTACTATGGCCTTGTAGGCACTTTAATATTTCTTTCCTTCCTTCCCCTGGCTGGTCTCCTTCTCCACTCCAATCCATCCTCCATACAACTGACTTTTATTAAACACGCAGATGACTGTGTAAACCTCCCCCCTCCACCCCCAGAAGCTTATTCAAACTTCAGTGGCTCCCTGTTATCTGTAGTGTCAAATATAAGCTTCTTTTTTAATGCATTTAAAAACCCTCACAAAATGGTCCAACCTATCTTTCTGACTAGTTACACATTATTCATCTTTACACATAGCATGATCCAAACAAACTGACTTTCTCATTCTTCCTAACAGAGGTGCTCCATTTTTTATCTTTGCGCTGACTGTCCCCCATACCTCATCTCCACCTCTTAAAATCCTTAGGTTCCTTCAAGGCTTAGCTCAAGAGCCATGCTTTTATGTGCACCTTTCCTGATTCCTCTAGTCTTAACCCCCAAAACTGTCTTGTATCAGTTCTGTATATGCAGGTAGTTAAGCTTTAATAGCTTAAAACTACAGTAAGACTTTTGAAACACTATTACGTATATAACTATATATAACTAGAACTATATATGACTATAACTATATATATTGTCTTTCCTGTCTATATTTGTAGATTTATCCAGGGTAGGCACTGTCTTTGTATCCCTTCTGTCTAGGACACTGCCTGGCACATAGTAGGTACTCAATAACTGCTTATTGATTGATTGAAGTAGATACAATTATATATAAAGTAAATACAAGGTAATTGGGGGGCAGGATAGTAAAGGGATGGGAAGAAGTCATTAACAGCTGGAAAGATCAGGAAAGGCCTCCTGGAGGAAGTGGTGTTTGAGCTGAGCTTTGAAGGAACCTAGGAATTATATAAGGGGTACAGGGGAGAAGATGGAATGCACTCCAGCATGGGGAACAGCCTATGAAAAAAATACAGAGATAGGAGATGGAGCATTGTATTTGAGGGACAGCATGTAGTTCAGTTTGGCTTAACCAGAAAGTAAAGGAAGAGAAGTAACATGTAATACATCTGAAAAAATAAGCAACAAGAAGGGCTGTAAATATTAAACCCACTGAGTTTATATTTGATCCTAGCAAGAATCTGTAGCCAATGGAGATTTTTTAGCAGGGAAGTAATACAGTCAGTCCTGTGCCTTAGCATTATCACATAAATGACTGTGCGAAGTATGGATTGGAGATGGAAGAGTCTGGAGGCAGTGAGACCCAAGCAGGAGGCTATTATTATAGCCCAGGAGGGTGATGATAGTAAGAGCCTGAAACTAGGGTGGTAGCCATGTGAACAGAGAGAATGGGACAGATATGAGATCATTTGTGGAGGTAGAATTGACAAGCCTTGGAAATCAATTTTGTTCTTGGATTTATTATTACATGCATTGAATAAGAAGCCAGTGTTATGGGAAAGGACCTTCAAACAGATCCTGAAAGAGCTCTAACCCAATGATGAAATGAAAAAAGCATTAACTAGAATTAGTCATCACAATAAACAACACAAATACATCTGACCTTTTGATAAAATCAAGAATACAATTTTAAAAGTCCCCTCCCAAGGACAGATTACCCTAAAGTAGGTTTTTTTTTTTAATTGCAACATCAATTACAATGAATCATCAAACCAATAAGTACTCCCTGTAGCTGGGAAACAACAAAACATAGCTGAGACGTTGCTTATGTTTAGTTTGTGCCCTTAAACCTGTAACTGGCTCTCAGAGGCTCCAGAATTCCTAACAATAACAAAAGCCTAACAATACCCACAGTAATCAATGATTTGAGCACAACATCTAAGAGGGCTTCAGTATTTTTGGCATAAGGCAAAGTGTCCATAGGCTTAGGGGCTTTGTTATGCCCTGGAGGGGGCTGGACAGTCCTACAAATAGTAGGATGACATGTTATTTGGGCTATTAAAATGTTAAATTTTGATATTTAAAGTGTATCAAGGATATGTGTGTGGCAGGAGGATACAAGGTTAAAGTGTTTTGGAAATTTTCATTTTGTTTTCTTTGGGCTGCATGCAGGTGAATTATCTGAAACATTTTGCAATTAGTGTGCTTAATGGAATTTAAGACTTTTTTTGAGCCTCAAAAATGTCCAAATAAATTTCTTCTATACAGTCCCATAGTTTTTTTGCCTTATATGCCAGTATAGAAAGAGATGAAGGACAAGAAGTGGTTAGAAGTAATTTCATTTCAAAGGGGTACCATGTCATAGCAGATATAAAGCTGTGTTTGGAATGTGAAAGACCTGAGTTCAAATAGGAGCTCTGACACAGACTAGCTATGTGACCCTTGGCAAGTCATCTAACCTTAGGTAACTCTAAGACTCTAAATTGCCAAGCAGCTCCCAGCATGCACTGGTGCACTGAATTTCCTCCTCTGAAGTTCCCTAGACCAATGAAATCACAAAGTCTGGTTAAAAAATTCTACCTTCTACAAATTTGTAAGAAAATGCAATTTTTCGTATCTGATGCTTAAAATAATTACATGTAATTCTGAAATAGATACAAATTGCATTTAGGATATAGGAGGATGAGTTTTTCTGTTATGTGAGAATGTTTTATACCATCTACCAGATAGCCTTTAAGAACCTATGATTGCCTTCATGGCATGAAGCATTGAAGATAACTTACAGACTAAAAAATTGAAGATATTAATATTTCATAGAAATAATGTCTACCTTTCTGATGTGAGTAAACTAAAAATATAAGTGATTATGAAGGAAAACAACTATATTGAAACACATTTATCAAAAAAAAATTAAGTTCATGGACTCCAAGACAAGAACCTCTGCTCTGAGATTATAAACTGCAAAGCAAATGCCAATCTTCATTGGTAGGGTTTTGTCATCAGAAGTTTCCTTTACTACCAGTGAAATCAGAGGTCTAACAAAAAGTTGCTCTAGACTCCTCAGAATACTGTTTTTAAATTAATAAACTGGTACATATGTAGATATATGCATATATATGTACATATATAAAATTTAAGTGAAAAGATGAAAGATGTTTCCACAGTCAGATTTTTGTTTACATTTGATTATATTATTTCACCCCTGGAAAAAAAGTGAAATGTTTATTTTTGCAACATATGTTATCTATTTGCTTTCATAGTGCTTTATCTGTTTCCTGCCCACAAACTTATACAACCTGGAAAAATATCGACAAGTAACTTAGTTTGGGGCATTTGGCTTATTAATCACTCAGGTACTTTTCACTTGAATTATTTTTTCTTAATGGTGGGAGGCTTTTATTCCAGTTGTTATCTCAAATGCAGCAGTGAATATTTGAAGTTTTGCTTCCTGAAGACCTTTTTGCTTATGTAGGAAGAATTGATTTTCACTATGCACCTTTAAGCATCACCAAAGATAATCACATCCAAGTTTGCAGCTACAAATTGGTTGGGGAAAATGGATTATGGTTATCAATCCCCAACACTATTTTCCCCTGCTTTAGGGATGCAACCACTTTGATAAGTCCAATGTTTCAGGATGCCATTGTTTCTCTATCTGCAAATAATATTTATAGTATTTAACTGACCCTTATTATGAAGTTAAGCCAAATCCCATCTCTGCCATTAACCAGCTCTGTGACCTTGGGCAAATTACTTCACCTGTCTGGGTCTCAGTTTCCTCATTAAGTTATCTCTAAGGTTCCTTCAAGCTCTAATGGCTATATAATTCTCCCTTCATCCCTACCCCTAGTCTTCCCATTTTCATTTGTTGCCAGTTAACAAGGTATATCTTCA